TTGTTTTGTTTTTTTTGGCAATATGTATTTGATGTCAAGTCACTTTTGCTCCTTTTGTTTTGTTTGTGTAATTACATAAATTATGATGTAATATTGTATTTAAAATCTCTAAATCGAGACAAACCTAACCAGATTTCATATACTACTTCTAATTTTTTTTAGTTGCAACTTTGGAATGTTTTATAAATGTAAAAATAATTGTACTACCTTTGTTTCGCATTATTTGCAACAATTTAAGCGGAGATAGTATATAATTGCAAATCAACAACGACTAATAAAAAAAGGGGAAAAAACTAAATAAAAAGATTAAGGGTGTGTTCTATTCACCTGATTTTTACTTATCTGAACTTATCTTAATTTATCCGATCTTATATGCACTTATTTGAACTTATTAAGCCTGAAATAAGTGGAAATAAGGTGAATAGTTTAGGTCCTAAATACATATAATCGTATTACTTTTTGAGGATATTACCCTATTTTTTATGAGTTGCCATATATTTTTTTTTTCTTTTTTCTCTCTTTTCAATAATTACTAACTATTCATAATTTTTTCCTATATATACTAACTACTCCGTATTTTTTTTTTTCCTATTTACATACTAACTATTCCGTATTTTTTTCCCTAACCCCACAGACACAAATGTACTTAGAAAGTTTTACAATTTACAATTTTCTTAATTATTGTGAAAAAACCCTTTGTATTGTGTGATGAAGGAAATATATACGAATAATTATGAGTATGTATATTATTAAAGTAACCTAATTTATAGTCAAGTGGGCTTTATTTAAAAGAAAAAAAAAACTTAAAAATATTGTATTAGCCAAGTGGTTGTCTAGTGTATGTAGGGCTATCTTCATTCTTTAATAATTATGATCTTGTGCATAAATATATTATCATTATTATTGATTCAATAACATTCATTCATTCATTTCATTATAAAGAGGAGTGAGTTTGAAAGAGAGAGAGAGATAGAGAGAGATAGAATAATGGAGTTTCATAAACGAAGCTTACTCTCTTTGCTTCCTGTTCTTGCTTCCATTATCTTCTTCTTTCTTAAGTTCTCTATTAAGGTTTGTTCTTTTTTTCCCTTTCCTTTTTTTTTTTAGATTTTTTTTTCTTCAACATATTGCATGTTTCTATTTGAAAGAGTTATCTCTGCCCTTTCGAATTCCCTGATAATTGCACCGTCTAGTTAAATTACGTGAGAAAATCAATTACTGACTTATTCCATTTGTATTACTTCCTTGCATTATAGTTGACGGATTATTATAATTATTAATTATCGTGACTGTTTTTACGGTACTTTCTCTGTCCTTTAATTCCTCATATAATAGAGAGAAGTAAAAATTTAATTAATGGAAGAAGGGAGTAAAATAAAAGTTGGAATGTTATTTTATTCTATAGGTTACCATAGACTTATGGAGTACGTATGTATGTATTTTTTCTGGTACTTGTAATGTTATTGGTTAAGTGAATTGAATCTTGAAAATTGATTTAATCTTTATTTATTGCTATAATACATTTGACGGAATATATTTTTAATAAGTTAGACAATGACTTGAGTGCGTGTACGGTGTATCAAAAGTCTAAACAAGCATATTTTTCAGGTTCCTTGCATATACAAATAGTAATTCATATTATAGGCATAATTTCAATGTTTTCTATACTTGATATTCTCTAATCAAATAGGGTTCTTTTTAAGAAAAAAAAAAACACAAATTTTTATGTGATCGAGGTCTGAGGTTATTTATTCAGGGATAACCCTTGACCTGAATAAATAACCCTTATATAAATAACCCTTATGTTAGTTGAATTTATATATTTGCTAGTTGCTACGGTATATTGATTTCCAATGAACAATAATAGTTTACTAAAAAAAAAAAAGAAAAAAAAAACAATAATATCTTTTAAAATAGGAAAATATTATCATTTTAGCTGATTTTTCGAACTTGATATATTTGCGAAATCTTCCAAACATGTCAACAAAATTAACTCGATTATAATTCAATCTTATCTTATGTGAAGTATTAAGTAGACAGTGATGATTTATGGCTTCAATCTTATCTAATTTGAAGATTAATTTTGTTCCACGAATTATATTATCATGATGACCACTATCTACAATATAATTATATATCAACAGTTACTTTTTTTGCTCATTTTATTGGTAGGATAGAGGTCCAAAACAAAAATTAAAAATTACTCGTGGTTTTTTTTTTTTTTTTTTTGAAAGAAAAAATTACTCGTGGTTTTGATTGAGTATTTGAATGTAATCCAATTGAGAGTGGATAAGCTATTCATCTATTATTTCAAGATATATGGTCGTTTATATAATTTCTCCCAACTTTTTTTTTCAACATTCTATTGGCACATACATAAAGAAATAAAAATAAAATGAGAGAATATGAAGTGTAAACGAACAACTTTAGTAAAATTAATTTTTACTAACTCGTTAGAAGATTTTAAACCATCTAAATATCCTTACGTGTCTAATTTCTTATAGATTAAAAGTTTACCAAAAGCATGTACAATTGTGAGAATAATATACTAGTACAAGATCGAAAATTTTTCCTGTTTTTTTTTTTTAAATTGTAAGGATTATATTTAGTTGTAAGAATATGTAATTTTCCTAATTTCTATGATTCTCAATTTAAAACCATAGGCAAATGTAATGGCTGAATTCCATACTTTATGTAATCCTTTGTCAATTTGAAGTATAATAGTAAGGCTGTGTTCAATTCAAATTGTTTTTGCATATTTGATTTCAAACTTATTTTTAATTTTGATCTGATTTTTTTTTTAATCTGAGTTGATTGTTTGATTTAATTAAACTTTGATCTTATATTTACAATTATTAACTGTATAAGGAAATAAAACTATCAAATGAGGTCTTATTAGGTTTGAATTAATATTTGTTATTCATATTTTTTTCATCACAAGATTAAAAATATTTTCATCACAAGATTAAAAATACTTAGGGATGAAAATCACAAATAAAACAATAAAGTATAATTTAAACTTATATTATTTTATGTTTTGATGTGAAATAAGACCATGAGTAATACGGGGAATATCTTCAGACAAAGTGAGCTAAACATAATGTAACACACATCTCGTGAATATAAAAAGTTGCACAGTACGTACTCCGTATTTTGTTTTTGCTTTTACATGCATATAGACTAATTTTTTCAATTCCAACCTAAATTGGTCTTCATAAAGTCTTGGGAACGAATTGTGGTGTAGAAAACTTTGTGATGGTTGAAAAACATATACTCTGTTAGATATGTGATTTGAAATCAATTTGCATAAATATCTTTTACTCTCTCCGTCTCTAAATTATATTCCTATTTATAGCATTTATTCCTCACATAATAGAGGAAAACATGAATGTAATTTAGGGATGGAGGGAGTAAATGTTTTTGTGTGTTTATGAAAAACATTATTAGTTTATGTTAAAATTTTTGTTACTATAAATCTATAATAACAGTATGCACACATAGAGTACATTGCAAATAATAATACAAAGTAATAACAATCCAAAAAATACAAAACTTAATAATTATACATTTTCTACTACATTTTTTTTTAAAAAAAAAAAAATTATATTTTATCTTAAGTGTTTAATCGCTGACCAGAAGTATGGGGCCTATTTTATGCATGGTGGGTTGGTGTGGGTCGTGTATGACCGGTGAGTGCTGATTGTGGTGGACATCTTTGCAGACTACTCCTTGGCTTTTAGCTAGCTAATTAATCTATATTTTCCAGCATAATATCTACGCCATTTCATAATTATATCATTTTTAGAATATTATACTACTAGCTAGTTGCAAGGCCTTTGGTATTTTTCAGGCTGATTACATATATTTTTGGTTATTTTTTTTAGAAAAAGCTATCATATAAAGATAAATTTATCTTAATTTGTAGCAATACATTTTAATATAATCATCTTTTCATAATATCTAACTATTGACGATAAAAATACTTATATGTGATCAGTAGTCAGCCATAATGAAAATTTTTCGTTAGCTACAAGGGGTTATTTTGTTAGTATTATAGAGACTTTTTAGTTAGTAATTTAGAGATAACTTGGCTAGCGATACACAAAATACGCCGTTTTTCTTATTAATAGTTGAAATTTAGGGTCTGTTCTCATACGTTGAAATTCAATTCAGTTCAGTTTAGTTTAGTTCCTAATTTGCTTCTCTTATAAAATATTCATTTCAATTCAGTTCAGCTCAGCTCAGTTCAGTCAATGAGAACAGACCCTTAAATATATTACTCCGTATTGAGTAATATTTATTTTTATACATAAAAAGTAGAAAGGTTGCGGCTAAACAAAAGACACAAAGCAAAACAAAAATACCTTATACTTATTGTATTTATTTACAAACTAAAAAAACAAAGGTGCATGCAAATAAGTGTGAATGACAGCACGAGCATGTCTAAATCCACTTGCCGTAAACACCAAAAAGAATAAGAACAAAGAATCTTTTACATATCTCCTAATTTAAATAATAAACTATTCGTAATTATAAAGTAAACAACAAATTTGGAAAGTAAAGATCCAACTTGCAAACGTCTCTCATTGGTCCCTTACATCACGGAGCATTTTGATTCCTTTCCTTTTTTCTATTATTATATCCCAAGGATTCCCGTGGTCCCGCTCTTCTTTTGAAAAATTTCTCATACAACGGTTCACATATATATACGTATTAATACTAACACATAAAAAATACATGTTTTTAATTGATCGACATGAAAATTAAGTACTCTCAAATCAACTAATTAACTAATAACAATATACTAGTTCGAGATAATAAGATATTTTAGATATACAACGATTACATTAAATAAAATAAAGACTTCTGCAGTCATAATATGATAAAATAATAAAGTATATTGTATAAAAAAAGGACCTAATCTTTTTTAGTCAAGTGGTTGTCCCCCTCTAGTGCGTAGGTCTAAGTATCTTTGTTTTGTGTATATATATTTATTCGATTTATTATATCATACGTTGATTCATTATATTTTTTGATTCATTAATTTTATAGAGAGAGATCTTAGAGAGAGAGAGAGTGTGAGTGAAAAAAAAAGAAAAGAGAGAAAATAATGGAGTTTCAAAAACGGAGCTTCTTCTCTTTACTTCCTGTGATTGCTTCCATTCTCCTTTTCTTTCTTAAGTTCTCTCTCAAGGTCTGTTCTTTTTTCTCCAATTTTTTTTTAATTTTTTTTCGACGTTTCTTTTATCACATTTGCTCTTTTTTATTTCATGTTTATGATACGAGGGAATCCTCAACAATTACTCGATTTAGTTATTTTCAATATCGATGATACGTTACTAGATTGTTCTTCTGTTTCGTTATTGGAGAGAATCTTTTTTTATTTTTATTTGCACATGTATAATCTTTGATTTTGCCTTTATTTTATTTAATATTATTTCTTGGTGCAAAGGTTTAGGGGATACTATTTCTTGGTGGGGTAAGTTAGAATCATGAAGTTTAGGGCTTCATGTTCTTCTATTGGTTTAGAATCATAAAGTCTAGGGCTTTATTTGGATTCTATTGGTTTATTATTTTGATTAAACATTTAATTACTAAAAACGAGCTTATAGGGTTTAGTTTATATCGGGTTGTTATTATATAGCTAGTTGTTATCGAAAGATATTCTCAAATACAAACACATTTGTAGGAAACAAATTCGAGATTCCAGAGTAATAGATCCAACAATAATACGTTTTGTGGACGTTATTTTAGCAGAGGGTTAAAATGAGGTTTTGATTAGTCAATACCACCCTAAAATACCTCATCAAAGTGATTGTCTTACTAGTTATTTTTACCACTTTTTACGAATTTTTTATGGGTAGTTTACGGTTGTTATACAATGCAAGTTGCAAAGTGTTTGGAGAAGTCTGAGTTCTTGTTAACCGCACAAAAATAGTATACTTAAAAAAATAAAAAAAAAACTACTGTACTTTATAAAATTTAATAGAAAAAAGCACTAACGACCAAATTCATGCACATGAATAAAATGGTCAAATATTACGGCACTACTCAAACTTTTTTCAAATGTCATTTTAAAGTAATCTTTAATTCGTATCAAATTAGAATCTTAAACTGTAGTGGTAGTTGGATTCAATTTTCAATTGATTCTTTTTTCACTTTATATTATCCTGTGTTTCAATTTGTAATTTACAATCCTTCTTTAATAACACATATATCATTTAACTTATAATTCTTCCGTTTAAAAAGTTGTCACATTTTCTTTTTTGTATTTTGTTCGTAAGGAAATTACCTTAATGTCTGTCTACTCCGTACTTATCGATTTAATACTACTATGATAAGGTAATACTATTATATGGGAAATGAGACGGTGTGTTTAAGGGACAGATCGAGTAATTTATTCGCATGAGTTGTTAGCCAACACGTTTCAAATGAGCTGTATAAATCAAGGGCGGACCAGTAGTTTTGTAGCTGTACTTTGGTCTAAATCGGTCCCAATTCTATCAAAATATTCTATACTATTGATGGTTGCAACTTTTGCAATATAAAGAAATAATGAATCACAATAACTTTAGCACCACTATGTTGATGTGATATGATAGGACTAGTTTCTCATCTTAACCAATTCTATATTCTAAGGTTGTACGTAGTATGTAGCAAATGGAACATAAAAAAATCATGTTAACTAACATTCCATGGCCTAAGGTCATTTTAGTCCCTTCTTCCTTTCGAGCAGAATATCAAGGGTCGAGTTTGATCAAGCTCATTTTGGGGTATTACCTTTAATTATGTAGTTGGCTAGTTCTCAAACTTTATCAAACTCGACCCTTGATAATAACATAAGGGGCGGGGTAATACCCAAAATGAACTTGCTAAAATTCGAGCATAGTGTTGATATACTACATTATGCATTAACTTATAGTGTTATAATTGTGCATAGTAAAAAAAGCTTAAAATTGTGTTAGTACCTTTATTATACTTCAATATAATCATAAACATGAACAATTAATAACTTGGAATAATTTGATGATATTGTAGACTGCTCCAAGTGGATGTAGCCTTCTACATCACAACCATTACTGGATATCTAGCAAGCGGATTGTAACGCAGGACGGTGTCATTTCTGGTGCAGGTTTGTTTGTAACACTCATAATTTTTTTCCACTTAAAGATGGTTTTTAGTTTACCTTGATTGTATTTGACATGATCATACGCGAAAGTTAAAGAAAGAAGCTAAGAAACCTCGTCACTAATTAAACTTTTTCCATAACTACCAATTAATCATATTTCTTCAATGTGCACAATCTAAACAGTTGAGATAAAAGATGGCAAAGTCTTTAGCCTTGTTAAAGAAGAAGATTGGCATGGATATATCAGGAAGGGTCAAATAGTTGATTTTGGGGAGGCTGTTGTCATGCCGGGCCTAATTGATGTGTAAGATATCTACCCGAGAGACCTGCATTGCATTCGCATCATTTTTACTTAATAACGAACTAACATA